CCTATAGACCATCCGTCCGGTTGCAACGTATCAATCTCATCGATTTTGAGCTCTTCCATACGTCATCTACAACCTTAAACCACTCCCGGGTTGTTGTTACCTTCCTGTTTGTCTACTTCACCTCCCAAGCTTCTCCCGGCAACCTCTCCTCTCCCACATTGTAAATACATGCGGTACTATTTACCATTTTAGCTTCCTTACGCCTCTCCACGATCGTAGGAGTTGAATCCGAAGGGGGGGGCGTACTCTCTCTCTCTCTGTGTCTCTCTCTGTCTCTCTCTCATGTTTTGATGCCTTAGCGGTTATATCATTGACCACGCGTCCTCGACAGGACGGAGCATTGCTCCCACAGGACCGATCACAAATGGCCAATCGATCCCATTACTTCGCCGAAAAGGTGGCTCACAAATGCTGTCCCCAGCCTATCAACTATCCTATGGATACCACTTCCCGCCTTTTCAACCAGTTTCCTATCTTTGCCCCAGTACAGCTATCGTCTTCTCTTGGCTATTCCACGCGTCAAACATCTCTCTGTGACTTTTCTTCTATTTTTCCCAGCTCAGTCATCGTTTCCCTCTCCTTGTTGTACAACGGACATTCCGCAAGTACATGAACATGTTCTTCGCACTCGGTAGCATCAGCAGCTTTTCTCGTCCCTTCGCATCGCCGCGTCGTGTCCAAGTTGCGCTGCATCGCAAAACACGGGCTATACATATACGCCCGCGCACGCCCGTTTGTGCGTTCTGCAATCGCACAGCCTCTCCTACTTTCGTATCCCACGGGGCGCCCGCGTGAGATTTTTGGACCTATCTATCTCGTGGCACCCTTACTCGCACTCCGAGCGCCATACAACACATACCATGCTTTACGTCATTGTTTTGTTGGATGTATTCTTTATGTTAGTCTTCAAAAACATCTTTTGTTGTTTGAATTCCTCTCCTACCCTGCGAACAAAACATATACAGCGTACAGCACCAAACAAGAGAGCACATGACCCAGTTCTTAGCCACTGAGTCACCGATCGTCATCAGACCACTTCGAATGCGCGTCCCATTGAGCATTCTTTGGTCGTGCCAGTCGAGTGGAGCATGAGTGCGTGGCCAGAAGGCTTCCTGGTTATCACGTACAAGACGAGCCACCGCTATTTAGCTCGAGGCTGGACGCTTGTACGTTGCCTCCAACCGAGCACATGTTCTACTTTCCAACTTCTTGTTTGGAGAAGGCAGTCAACTATGGCAAGCAGGGTTCTTGTTCTTAACCCTCAATTCCCCTATGCAGAGGACACCGATCTTTCCGGGAGGATTTCATCACGATACACTTCTGCTGTAGGAGGACAATATAACAACCGTAACCCCGCCCCCTAGATGGCAGTTCCGCCATGTACCGTATGGGAGAGGAGAGGTTGCCGACAATAGCTCGGGAGGCAAAAGTGGGCAAACAAGAAGTATTGCTGTACCCACCTATGGAGGGGATTACTGTTGTAGATGACGCATGGAAGGTCTTCGAAGTTGGCGAAGGTGATACACTGGAAACGGAAGGTCTAGAGGAGTTCTACGAGGAGATCTCCGTTGCTTTTGCCGATAGAAAAGAACAGAATCTCGCCAAAGAAACCAAGGAGAAGGGTCGGGATGTATACGGAATGTTGAAAGAAGGAATTCATTTCAAGGAGTGCCTACTTGGATCAATGGATGCAGCGACAATGCTGAAGGCCAACTTTAGGACGGGGGACATTGGCCTTCGAGAACGTAGACGAAGATGAGTATGGATATCTATCTGTCGTGTTCATTGGGTTTGCGGTACTTGTTTTTCTACCCAAGATTAATATATTGGGCGGGAGCGCCATCGCACGTACGTGGAATCAATTAGAAAACCTCCATATCATTGCGTCACCAAACCTGAAAAACGGAAAATACCCAAAACAAACTTAAAAACCCCCCCGGACCCAATATAGATTCATCTTCGTTTTTCTCCGTCAAATGTGGCGGTGACTTTTTTCCAAATGGCCGAGTGGACAAATCCAGAACAACACCACGCTCGAGGTACGTCGCCAAAACTGCGCGGTTGTGCCCGAGACTGTAAGTAAAGTATTATGCCCCCCAAGAACATTAATATGTGAAAAACATTATTGGGGAATCACACCCAGAACTACCCTTCCTTTTGGTCGACGTTGATTGCTTGTACAGTAGTGTAGTGGGTTGGCTAGCGGGTGAAGTTTGCTTTTCTCTCTGTGTGCTCGGTGCACGCATGATTGGTTTCCTCCTCAACACAGCCAAAACCTGAAAAAGGAAAACTTGTGCCATGCCTGTGAATCCTGAGGGACTTGTAAGTCTGAGCATCTATCGTGGCCACGAAGGAGATATTCGTCAGGGTCTTTCAATATCTCAGGTCCCTCCAGGTGCAGCATTTTGCTTGCGCCATTTCAGAGCTCTTTACCCACCCCCTTTTTTTGGTTGAACCCTCAGCCCGGGTGCGTTCAGGTGAACGCAAGAACGCAAGAACCGTACGGTCCACGTAACACCTCTATTGAATGACCCGTTTCAAGATTCCTTCCTCCGAACATCGAGTATCCGAATCTCCTCACTCTCCTTATTTCCGTATTCCACCAGTTCCATGCAGCAGCAGCCGCCACCTCTTGCCTCTTGCACGAAAAAAAAAGGAGGGATTCAGACGAGCCTGGGGCCACCCTCAGGCGTTTTTTGTTGCATACAGCAGTAAATGTTGCATGTTGCTGTTGGATACGCATCATTCGTTGGAGGAGTTGAGAGTGAGAGTCTAGCCAGCCAGTTTGTCTGTCTGTCGTTCTAGACATCAAACTTTCAACATCAAAATACCATTGTACCCAACTGAGATAAGACTACAAAAAATGGTGTGTACAAGTCCTTACCCCCCGATGCGACCGACAAATCAGTCAGTCAGGTGCAAATAAAATAGGGTAGCTGTGTCGGCCATGATGTGGTACCAGGTACCGTTTAGACAACCAACCTCCGAGAGCTTCCTCGATTCCTCTGCCGCTCTAGTTCAAAATCAACCCGACCAACCCTCTTGAGAACAATATTTACCACATCCATCAGGGGTGTTCTAAACGAGGCGAAATCCCCCGAATTTGTGCCAATGCCAAACTCCCTCTTCCTTCGCCAAATACGTACGGACGTGCCGCTTTTGTTGAGAACAAGCCGATGTGGCCCAAAGGAAACATTTCCGGCAAATTGTGCAGAAAGCACACGACCGGTTAGAGGCACATGGAACAGAGTACGCAACTGGTTTGGGGTTGTTCCATCTCTTCGTCCCAAGGCCAATAGACATCGTAAAAGTGGCATGGACCTCTGTGGCTGCCGTAGCAAATCTCAACTGCATTTGTTTTAAGCTCATGAAATACGCAATAATTCGGGAGAATTGGTACAGCACGAGCTTCGCTCCACATGAGTTGACGGGAAATGATCCTTGTGTTGCTCGCTTTCGGTGCCGCCGTTAGACAGTGGCCCCGCCTGGATGTTGCTCAATTGATTGGCTTTCAGGGCTGGTTGGCACCGATGAAGGTCGTTCTGCGACGGCGTGGTTTCACGCAGAGCGCCGGTATTGGTGATGGTAGTGAATCAACCCTTAAAAAACGTGATGCTGAAACACTCCGGAACAATGTGGTTTGTCGCCGATAGAGAACCGCGTTGAAGTACAACCTTTGCGGCGAGCGTGAGTGAGGGCTAACGGCTGTGTGTAACTCCTTGAATGACTGGTGCCCACCGCCTTGCTTTGCCGCTGACGCACCGTCCAACGTTGCACCTCACGCCGCGTGCAGAAATGCCAGTTGCCGGGGTGCTCCAATCCTGTTCACGTCGACCGCAAGAGCAACAAGGTGTTTGATCACTGCTGCAGGGGCCATGCCATCCAGCATCAAAACCCACTACAGCCTGCAAGCCAGTCTGCTGCGGACATTTCAGATTTCCAGCAACCGTGTTTGCTCCCGGGGTGTAAGTTAATGGGATTTGTAGACAAGACCACGGGAGTAAGCTACGACTACTGCGGCAAGGCCCACGCTAACGAGGCAGCAATGCGAATGTCCGGTGTAGCACCGAAGATGGGCTCTACCACGACAATGATCGACCATTCGGGCTTGCGGGCACCCTCCAGCGGCGGCGACACTTTCTTGCCACCGTGTAAACACAGCGGATGCACGCGCCCGTGCGCTGCAGATGCCAAGACTGGACTTGTCCACGACGTTTGCCAAACCCATTTTTCTGGTGCTGCAAATTCCACTACTTATATCGTTGCGGGCGGCACCTCAGCCGACTCGTTTGCGGCAATGGGAGGGACGGTGGGCATCATCAAGATCTCCTCTATCGCGCAGGCGGCACCACCCCCGCCATCAGCATCTTCAGCATCCGGCCGGGTGACGCTCCCGTCGGCGGTTTCGTCGGGTCAGTGTCAGCTGGACGGGTGCGCGAAGCTGAGCGCGATCGACACCCGCACCGGTGAGCGTTACGATTTCTGCTCCAGGCAACATGCACAGCAGGCGAAGAACCCAGGCAAGGCAGGACCCTCCAAGACCGGCGGATCGTTCTCGGCGGTGCCCGGATCAGCAGTTTGTATGTTGTTGGGGTGCGTCAAGCCGCAAGCGCCCGGCTACGACCACTGCTGCAAGGATCATGCATTGGCGGCACGGAAATATATCCCGATGTGCACGCTGCGCGGGTGTGTCAAGGACGCGTGGTTCGACTCGAAGCGCAACCAGGTGAAGAACCTCAGGCGTGGGGTGTCTCCCACACTCTCTATAGTTTTACTAAACCGCCCATGGGACACCCATGGGCAGCCCATGGGTAGCCAATGAGTTCCCTTCAACCGGAACCAGTGTACTTCTAAACAATAGATCATCTACTCTGGAACGGGCATCGTAATGGCTAGTAACCCTATCGCTTACCCTAACCCTAACCCCAAGCCCACACGATACGTGCTAGGTTGGCGCTGGGTGGCTAAGTTCTGGGTTATATGCTGATCGATGTCTACGTTCTAGGTTGATATGCCGGTGGCGAGGTCTAGGTTGAAGCGCCCACGGTGGGCGCTTCGTGGGCAGTTTAGCAGAACTGCCAGTAGTGTGGGAGATTGGGCGTGGGCAGGTCCCCT